AAAGAAAGAAGAAAACTCACTTCAGGTTGAGCAGTAAGAAAAGGTTTGATGTACACATCACTACTCTGTGCCTTCAGATCGTGATCTCCAAAACCTCGGGTGACTCCAATCGTTGCAAGAACCCTACTCTAGATTAAGTTAATACACAAAGTATTTTTCAACATAAAAGTAAGACGTTACACAAAGTATGTTTCAACATTAATATAAGATAATACACAAAGTACTTTCCAAGATGAATATAAGATAATACACAAAGTACGTTTTAACATCAATTTTATATCACCTTTACATATTCAGTTTCTTCATGACATAGGAACGTACAGTTGACTGTCATACACTGACCATATGTAATAAATCATTATTATACCTGTTGTTAAATAGATTCAAATTAATTATGGTTTTTATTATATTATCATTTTAAAAAAATAACCTCTTCATCCAACTTATAAACAAAAATTTCATTAACTTACCCTTTTTCCATCCCCGTAGACTAGAGGAAATTTCAAGTCTTCAGCAACTACAGTCTTGTAAGACCTAGCACAGAAATGATTAAAAATATTGACACCTTCCGTAACAAATATTACAACCTAGCCCTAGCACAGAAGTTGGTTAAAATGTTGACCCCTTCCATAACAAATATTATAACCTAGCCCTAGCACAGAAGTTGGTTAAAAATGTTGACACCTTCCGTAACAAATATTACAACCTGGCCCTAGCACAGAAATGATTAAAAATGTTGACCACTTCTGTAACAAATATTACAACCTAGCCCTAGCACAGAAGTTGGTTAAAATGTTGACACCTTCTGTAACAAATATTACAACCTAGCCCTAGCACAGAAATGATTAAAAATGTTGACCCCTTCTGTAACAAATATTACAACCTAGCCCTAGCACAGAAGTTGGTTAAAATGTTGACCCCTTTCATAACAAATATTATAACCTAGCCCTAGCACAGAAGTTGGTTAAAAATGTTGAGCCCCTTCTGTAACAAATATTACAACCTAGCCCTAGCACAGAAGTTGGTTAAAAATGTTGACCCCTTCCGTAACAAATATTACAACCTAGCCCTAGCACAGAAGTTGGTTAAAATGTTGAGCTTTCTGTAACAAATATTACAACCTAGCCCTAGCACAGAAATGATTAAAAATGTTGACCCCTTCCGTAACAAATATTACAACCTGGCCCTAGCACAGAAGTTGGTTAAAATGTTGACCTCTTCCGTAACAAATATTACAACCTGTTAAACAGTAAATCCTTTATAGATGTTCTGATTACCTTTATTTGTAATGTGTGATCTTTGAAGGACCCTATTACTTCGAGGTCACATAGATATTAAAAGTACTAGCTTTCAAATTAATTTTATCATTTGACTTGCGACTCATTGAGTATACTAGGCGTGAGTTTATCTCTGCTAGCCTGGCTTATATTTCAATGATATTGTTAAGGGCAGAGGATGGGTCATCAATTGTTATTGAACAGAAAGTGAGTGAAAATGGGGTTTTGGGAAGTTGTAGGTTCTTTCATCCAAGAAGTTAACATTTTTCTAACTTACTTCCACTGCCAGGGTTTCTTCCTTTGCCCATCTAAGCACTGGTCTGATTTTTTCTCACTTGCTTCAGTCTTTTATACCCCCATTCAATTGTCCTTGGCAATATGTGGACACTCTCCATCTAGATCAATGCAACCTCTGTCCTGGTACTGTATATAAACACCTCATTCAGATAATTTTATCACTTTTTCAGACTGACACCATCCCAGTTTCTAACACCGGGTTTTAGTGGGAAGGAAGGGCGAGAAAGTGTCAGCGGAGGTATTATTGGAAATACATTTTCAATTTAGAAAAATTTTAATTTCCAAAACATACTTACCTCCACTGAGAGTTATAGCTAGAATCCCACACTGAGAAGGTGGAGGAGCCGGTGCAGGCATGAACCATACAGAAAGTGTCTGAGAGTTATATCTAGAATCCCACACTGAGAAGGTGGAGGGGCCGGTGCAGGCATGAACCATACAGAAAGTGTCTGTATTGAACCAAGATAAAGATGATACAAGAGTGGGGGGAACCACACTACATCCAGAACAGGTATGCTCTCTTCACCCTGAACTTAGTTCCTGTATCAAGGATGGAATTGTACATGAGTGATTATCACTATCGATCAGCCCCAACCAGATAGCTGAGGTTCCACTACTCAGGGTTAGAATTAAGGGGTCTTGGTCCTTATATCCCACATTGGTGGCTAGGGCATTTGGACTGTAATATTACACACACACACACACAAACATATATTATATATATATATATATACTATTGATTGAATCCCAACCTGTATCCATAGGCTGATGCATCCTACCACCAGAATCACGACAACAAAGTAAGCAACACCCGAACCACCAGAATCACGACAAGAAAGTAAGCAACACCTGAACCAGCAGAATCATGACAAGAAAGTACGCAACACCTGAACCACCAGAATCACGACAAGAAAGTAAGCAACACCCGAACCACCAGAATCACGACAAGAAAGTAAGCACCATCCGAACCACCAGAATCACGACAAGAAAGTAAGCACCATCCGAACCACCAGAATCACAACAAGAAAGTACGCAACACCCGAAACACCAGAATCACGACAAGAAAGTAAGCAACACCCGAACCACCAGAATCACGACAACAAAGTAACCAACACCCAAACCACCAAAATCACGACAAGAAAGTAAGCAACACCTGAACCACCAGAATCACGACAAGAAAGTAAGCAACACCCAAACCACCAGAATCACGACAAGAAAGTTAGCAACACCAAAGCAGACAAACATTCTCCTCCACCTGAAGAAGTCTGAAAGGCAACATCCCAGGCTCAGAATGACGGGATCATGTATACCGTACACAATCAAAGGAACAGAACTCATCCAATCTGGAATTATGACCATTCATCCTCACTCACCAACCAAGTGGGGAAGGAGCATTCCCCAGAATTATGAGGAGAAAGTGGAAAAACTGTGCTCAACCAAGGACCCAGGATGGGACCACTCCACATTCAGAATTACAAGGATATAGTGGATCTTCTTCCATGAACAATATACTGAACTGATATCTATCAAATCTTCTAGGGCCAAGCACACCTCAACTGGATAGCTGAGCATCAAATCTGAACCAATATTACAATGAGGGCTCCCACGTAGGCTGGTGCTGTTTCTACCAACATCTGGGGAAAAAAAACATCCAGGGACCCGGGTAGGATAGTCCCCAACTTTACCCTCTTCTCCGAGAGCGGGGGAATTTACTCTAACAATCTGGAGGAAGCCTCTGTTTACCACCCCAGTGACTAGAAACTGGGTGTGGTAAAGACTTCCTACCTCCACTAGTAGAATCTGAGGGTAATGCACATTGGGGAGTCCTGAGGAACAGTGCTCTGGAAACGGTGCAATAGGTGAACCAAGTTATCTAACTTTTTAAAAGCAAAACAACCCTGATTTATTCAATCCGATGCTCGGCAGGGTTGGGCAAGATCCCTTTTAGTTTTATTCATGATAGTCCATGAGCGGCAGTCCAGCATGGTATGGTAATACCACCTGGTGAGCTCCTAGGTGGTCTTGTGGAACACCTCATTTCTACATAGCCTGTTGGAACTGGTAGTAATTATAGTGAAACAGTGGTTGCTAGCAAGGAATTGGTCTGATAAAAGCACTCCTGTCTGGGCAACCCTCGTCACAGAGTGGGATGCTGTGAAAACAAGGTAAGGGACCCTGAAAGGTAGAAATAAATACACTCACCCCTCTGGATAATCTAGCAGAAATATTAAGATAGCTACAAGGAGTAGGCAAAACCTTCAGATGAAGAGACAGCCAGATCAAGCAAGTAATGTAAGATAAAGGTGTTGGGGAGGTTCACATACCAGTCTGCACAATGACCTCCAGTGAGCAATTCAACTAGGCTACTGAGGACATAGAAAAGATAAATCTGATTAGATGTGACTCACAGAAGAATAAAGAGTTGTCTAAAGGTATTAGTGCAATCAACAAGACCAAGATTGAAATCTGATTGGACACAGAGAGAAAGAATGAGCAGCTGAATCGGAGAAAAGGATAGAACCCATTTCCCATCTGACAAAATGCTGGGTAAGAGGAACTGGTCTGAGGATGTAGATAAAATGAGAAAGTGGTCTGTGGACAAACAGCGCAAATCACTCCGACCAGTGAAGTCCATAGGTCAGCAGCAATGAGTCGAGAAAGAACCTGTAATCTTAATCTATCTGGTAGGTAGCTGGAATGGTCATTTGGGACCAATTAACCAAAATGATGCGAGTAATCAGGAGAGTTGGACATTACAATCCCAGAAAAAGATCACTACAGATTGAGGAATAAGTAACTTGTGAACCTTGGAGAATCTAGGCACTGATCTAGACAAGAAAGATTGATGACTGGACACCAATGTCCTGTCCGCATAAGCCCAACAACTGACAGGATTAAAAACCCTGAAGAACTACCCAGACTCTCTCACTACTCCCAAACCAATCAAACTCAGATAACCTGAGAACTAAGATCCAAATCCTGATGAACTGTGGGAGATGGAAACCCTACAGGTTAGGTGGATAAAAGTGGGAAATATGTGAACTTAACAAACAATTATGACCCAAGGACCTGCAGAGCTCCTGGACACATGTTTATGGCTACCACATAGTCCAAAAAGTTTTGGAACTGGGCCCCCACATCCCCTGAAGGTATACAATAATCACCGATGCTGCTGGCAATCTGACTATGCAGTGGAAACCTTGGATATAGACAGAATCTATTCTGTGTACCAATATACCAAGGGGCTGATGTTAGGGGTCAGGACTCACAAATAAGGGCAGAACTATGGCCCCCTGTAGGGCCTGATGAAATTCAAGATTCCAACAACAACTGGGAGGAATTTAAAAGCCAAAAATTGAACCAACATGCATGCTAACAAGGGATCCAGCTCATCATCAATGAAACTGGTGATTCTTTCACTTCTAACAAAGTGAAGTGAAAGGAGACAAAATGTTGAATTTGAAATGCAAGTCCATAGACTTACTGTAACATCAACTCTGCCCCCCCGAATTTCGAGGGGAAGATGCATTATTTGAGGCAAGTCCATAGACTTACTGTAACATCAACTCTGCCCCCCGAAATTCGAGGGGAAGATGCATTATTTGAGAGTCGGAGAAATAGCTCCACCTGGTGGTGGTAGGCTAAATCACGAAGTTCTGACAACATGTTGGATAAGGCCTAACTGTCCCTTCACGTAACTATGAAGTAAACCTTCCAGCATGAACCACAATATTCGTGTAGGGAGAGAAAAAAAAAAGACTAACAATTCACTCCCAGACCTTTCAGCCATCAAGGAAGTTGCAGGCTCAAAAGCAACCGGGAAAATGTCCAAAACATCACACACTCAAAGAACCAGCAGAAGAAAAACAAATCAAAGGCAGCTAATCTCAAAGTGGCATCCTCTTCGTTTTTCATAGGTCATATAAAGATTGTGTTGATTACCATAGATTGGAACAGCATTTTCTGAGGTAAAGCAAGTTGTTTTCTTAGAGTAAATCAACTTTGGGTTATCTGCCACATCCACCCAAGTTAATCAAACCCTGAACTCCCGTGCTGCAAGTCCATTAACTTACCACTGTCCCACAGGAGGGCTGAAAATCCAACAAACTAAAAGAAGGCACAGGAAAAAGTGAATCAAAATTCTTTCCAAAATATCAAGGATTGCCCTCAATTGCAGCCTTAGAACCCTTTGGATGACCACCACAGATCCAAAAATACATCTACATCTCACTACGAATAAGATCACTGACAGTCTCAACTGAGAGTGACCCCCCCTAAGTTGTTGTGCAACACCCTATATACAAGAGGTATATCATAGTGTAATTGACTAGATAACAACATTACATTCAAAGTATCTCCAAAAGATCATAATACTAGAAAAAACCTGTTGGTGTCAAGGAAAACTGATAAAATTATCTGAATGAGGTACTTACATATAGCACTAGGTTAGAGGGTGCACTAATGTAGGTGGAGATTCTCACAAGACAAATATCGCCAAGGCCAATTAAATAGGGTCTATAAGACTGGAGCAAGTGACCAATGCTTAGATGGGCAAAGGAAGAAACCCTGTCAGTGGAGTAATAGGTATAAGTGTCAGCAGAGATATGTTCTGGAACTAGCCCCTATTTGATTTTCCTTGCGAGCTGCAATACATTTTTTTCTGCATTTTCTGATTACAGACTGGATATTCCCAATGGTTTCGGGAGTTACTGCCACAGACATTTTCCTTCAGATATTATACCTTTCCTGAAAAACTGTACATGTTTTCATTACTTTCTCTTGCTAATGGAATGATAATGGGTCAATTTTGATTATTTTTATACATATTCAAATTCTTTTTTTTTGTTAAAGATACTAATTCATAATAAAATTCAAAATGTATCTTAAGTTTCTCTTTTACGGACTTGGTTTTACTTCTTATATTTTTTCATCATTCTTATATATTGCTGAATTTCACCTATGTACACTCCATGTAGATGAAATGATCTTACTATTTTCATGTATATACATGTTCATGTTTAACACATTTTACTTGAATGAACAAAACATTCAAACTGAAGAAAAACCACACAGGAAAGATGGCAGAATCTGCTCCATGTATTGAGATTAAGAAATTCACATTGATGACAGCCAATCACAGAGTAAACTACTAACATGTGACTGTGGTCTATTTGTACAGATCATTTTCACATGATAAAAGAGTGACATTCCCACATCACTTGCCTTGTAAACCCTTTTTCCTCACCATTTCCAATACTGTATACATTTTTATGAAGCTAACCGAACCATGCAAGATATTAGTTAATAATAGTAAGGGCACACATTCTAATCAAAACAAGTTTATCTGTTTTATGACAGAGCTAGTTTAGACTGGTATATTAAATTAGCTACATTATTCACTAGGTTTAGTTTTAGTTCTCGTCTATATAGGGTGTTTATTTTCATCAGAAATTAATGATTGTTACTTAAAATAATTTGACTGGATGGTGAGTTAATTCATGCGTATACGACTGGATGGTGAGTTAATTCATGCGTATACGACTGGATGGTGAGTTAATTCATGCGTTCATGACTGGATGGTGAGTTAATTCATGCGTTCATGACTGGATGGTGAGTTAATTCATGCGTTCATGACTGGATGGTGAGTTAATTCATGCGTATATGACTGGATGGTGAGTTAATTCATGCGTATATGACTGGATGGTGAGTTAATTCATGCGTTCATGACTGGATGGTGAGTAAATTCATGCGTTCATGACTGGATGGTGAGTTAATTTTTATTTAAACAGGAATACTTTCTTTTCAACTGTCTAAAAAGTAGAATGTGCATTTTAACAAATTTCTCAAAATATTTGAGTGTTTTATTTAACAAAGATAATTTATAAAAGAAGATGCAGGGTATCTTTCAAACAGCTGGATTCACTACTTAAACTTTTAATAAAAATGTCTGAAACTTAAACTTTGAGATACTTTTAATGTTTTATGTATTACAATAGTGTGAGAAAAGATTTTTTTGTATACACATGAATTAACTCACCATCCAGTCGTATACGACATGAATTAACTCACCATCCAGTCATATACACATGAATTTACTCACCATCCAGTCATATACACATGAATTAACTCACCATCCAGTCATATACGCATGAATTTACTCACCATCCAGTCATATACACATGAATTTACTCACCATCCAGTCATATACACATTAATTAACTCACCATCCAGTCATATACGCATGAATTAACTCACCATCCAGTCATATACGCATGAATTAACTCACCATCCAGTCATGAACACATGAATTAACTCACCATCCAGTCATGAACACATGAATTAACTCACCATCCAGTCATGAACACATGAATTAACTCACCATCCAGTCATATACACATGAATTAACTCACCATCCAGTCATATAAGCATCTCTATACAGCATTTTCTTCCCTAAGTCTTTTCTCATTGGCCTCCTTATAAATTCAAGGTGGGTAAAATCTCGACCAAGAAGTTCAGGTTGCAGCATGGCCTGAAATTACGTGTTTATTTTACTTTTATATTCATAAATTAGATAAAAAATATCCGAATTTCACAAAACAAAAGATGCTTTGTCAGTTCAGAAAGTTAATTTTTAACCTAAGATTTATATTACCTGTAGATTAATTAACATAAAAATTTACTGTAATTTCTTAAACATTCATTTTTCTGATCTTCTCACCAAATCAAGTTGTATTTAGAATTATATGTATCATTGTGTATCTTATATAAGCATAAAGGTATGGTGAATAGGCCTACAAGTTAATATTTTAATAGATGCAGTTAATGTTTTATATCTTAATAGCATATACATTAAATAGAAGCCTACTCCACTCCAAATCATATTAGTTCCTGACGACACAAATAACCTCCAGTTATGTAGTTAGTTACCATCCCTATCTTAAGCAAACCGAAATGGCTTCACTATAATCCCAGAAATACCATTTATAAAAATATATTTTTCTACACCCAAAATATTTTTCTATTTAATTATATAATGTATAACTTTTAGCATAGCAGGAAAATTAAAAATTTTCTAATATTAGTTGTCTTTCTTACATTTCTCTAACTGTTTCTATCGCTTCTAGCTACGTGAATGTTATAAATTTCTTACTAAAACCCTTACAATAAATACGCATACTTTCATACTTCTCTAGAATACTTTAAGTTTAAAGAGGAAGAACTCCACATTCAAAAGCTTCTGATTTTTTACTTTATTTTTGTAGTCACATGTATGTACATTTATCGCTTCTTAGTGAGGTATTTTTTATATTATTCTATACATTACTTTTGTAATCACATGTATGTACATTTATTGCTTCTTATTGAGATATTTTTATATTATTCTATACTTTATTTTTGTAGTCACATGTATGTACATTTATCGCTTCTTAGTGAGGTATTTTTATATTATTCTATACATTACTTTTGTAGTCACATGTATGTACATTTATCGCTTCTTAGCAAGGTATTTTTATATTATTCTATACTTTATTTTGTAGTCACATATATGTACATATATTTATTTTTATATTATTCTATACATTACTTTTGTAGTCACATGTATGTACATTTATCGCTTCTTAGTGAGGTATTTTTATATTATTCTATAC